TCTTGAAGTTCCTAAAAAAACACAAATGTTGGTTAAGAGGTCGTCTACTCAAACCTACTTGGGGTCCAACTTACCATTCTGGAGTTAGATCAGTATATTCCGCGGCGCGAAGCGCCGCGAATGCCTTCAATTTACCAGCGGAGCAATTTACTCCCAACGATCACGGGAAACAAGTTCAACTACATTTTTCAGCTTTACACTTACTTCTACAAATTTCCTTAACTGCCTGTCCTATTTTCCCACCGCAAAAATCCCCCTATAGTCACCGTTTCCATAGGATAAAATGCTGGGAGTAGGGATCTATGAGAGGCACCACTTAAATTACCTTCGCCTTAAACCCGCAGCCAAACTATTGCGTTGCTTCCTAATCATTAGGCTGAATGAGATAACTAAAAACGTACAGTTCGAAAATGCGGATTTTCAACGCAAATCAAACAATTTTATTATACTATGTACGCAGAGAATGGGATTTTCAATGTGGGAAAACGGTGAAGCAGAACGATAAGCCACTAAGAAAAAAGATTACTTATGGAAATTTTGGATTCTCACACGAACCCCGCATTGATTATGAACAGACAGGGCTAGTGAGTATAGATTGAGCACAGTGTCTGCAAGATTATACTTGTTACGCCAGCAAGCACCTTTTTTATTGGCAGACCCTGATCGAGTTGCAGTGACAAGCGATGCTGCGGAATGAGCACAGCCGAACATTCCGAATGACCTCAAAGTGATCATTGCATAAGTGAATATGAGCATAAAGCATGTCAAGAAACTCACTCCTGCTTGTCATAGATGCTTGTGTGAACATGTAATTAATTTTATCGCCGAAGGTTTAGAAGAGATAAACAAAAGAGGGTAGGCTCTATATATATGCAAGTTAATGTTATGGGGAATGTGGTGCTGCCCTTAGAAAAAGGGATGGTTCTTAAGACATAGTGCTGAATGGAGAAAACTTATTTGGTAAGTACAGTAGTCTCCACAGACCATGCAATTTTCAGAACTTTGTTTGTAAAGAAAAATAACATTTTCTCGATAATCCCGTGATTTCGGAGACGCAAAAAAGAGCTATAAATTAAAACAATAAATTTATATATTGTGTTAAATTAACAACTTGAAGCAACCACTTTCTGTATAGAGAAAGAACTTTTCTTTAGTCAAGACATTCTGCTAACTTTAATCTTACTGAATAAGTATTTATTGAATGTCATCAACAAAAGTCTGTCATAATTTTCCTTGTTTTTACTGCCTTCTTTGATAAATTTATAAATTCTGCAATTATTCGACGTTTACACCAAAACCTTTTAAATAAGGTACATATAAAGAGCATTTACCGAAATAAAGTGTTTTCCAATATTAGTTTTGATGAATATGGCAACGTTTTTG